ATTTTCGCCGAACTTCATCGAACGTGACAGTTTTATTTTAAGTTTGGTAAAATGTCGCACTAATTTCGGGTAGAGGAGACAAAACTGGTTATGTTTGACACAGAAGTTTGTAACATGCCTACATCCAACAATCAAAAATACAAGAGATATCGCTTTTCTTACAGATTATCGAAGACATTTACTCTATAAATTCTATAACTCGATCCATTTGACGTGATGAAGACAAAAGAAATTTTCATATCCGCAATCTGAAGAGTTGAAACGAATGAAACGAGAAAAAAGTTTATGTTGATTTTGATCAATTTGATAGTTCTTATGAAATCTCTCTTAAACACATCTAAATACGTTTGACATGTTCATAATGAATAATAACTGCGCACCTCAAAATAAAGCACCGTAAATCAGAAAAGTGATCTTTAATTGATTTTTCAAATTTCATACTCTCACTCTCCTCTATATACATTTTGCAAAAAAATTAAATCATTGTCATGCATTTTTCGTTCTCGGTGACGTTAAAATAAATATGTCATTTTGCGTTGGACAGTTCATAGTTTCCTATTAATTTGTTTGCTACTTTTTTATAATGTACATTTACAGGTGACAAAACTCGTCACTTTTACTTTAATTAAATACTTAATTAACGGCGTTATACTTCATTGATTTCCTGTTTTTTTCTTTGAATAAAGAATATAAACACATACATGGTTGAAGTAAGTAAACAGAGTTTCTTAGCAAAAGTTAAAAGTGGATAAGTAGCATCAACAATTCAACTTTTCTTTAAGGTAAAAACAGACAAAATACCTTTTTTGTACACGTGAACTACGAGATAAACAGATATACAAATGTTACTGAAACAACTGCGAGAATTGTTTAAGAAAATAACATCAAAAAATAAAAATTCGAAACAAGAATTATTACGGCAGCAATCGACACCAAATAATACTACGACTATTCGATCTGCTGCTGATATTCCGCGTGTATCCCATCCGTCTTTGAACATTATTACTCCAAAGACAACGTTTCCGTCAGCAGCAAAAAATCTTGAAGGTACTACGTTATTATGGTGTGATCCAAATATCGGTAAAGAAAAAGATACAGAAAAGACAATGAAAGAACTGAGAGAAATCAATGACTATGTTATTTTTCATACTGATGAAGACCAATGTGTCGAATATATAAAAACAGTTACAGAAGAGAAAATATTTCTTGTTATATCTGGACAATGTGCATCTAGTGGTATGCTACTTAAACAAATACATCCATTGAGACAAGTTGATTCCATTTTTATTTTCTGTTTACAACCAGAAAACTTTAAACATTTACTTGAAGAGTATTGCAAAATTGTGGGAATTTATTGTGAGCGTCGTGATTTAATTGCTTCTATTAAAGAAAATGTTGAATTGGTTGGAAAACAATTAGGTGCATTTTGTTTCTATAATCAACATCGTGAAAAATCTACACGAAATTTATCCAAAGAATCAGCTGAATTTTTATGGTTTCAGCTGTTTAAAGATGTCATACTGAGATTACCGAGAGACAATCATTCTAAACACCAACTCATCGAATTTTGTCGACAGTATTATCATGGAAATGAGGAACAATTACGATTAATTGACGAATTTCAGAATAGTTATACGTCTGGCGAGGCAATCAAATGGTATACACGAGAAACATTTCTCTATAAACTGGTTAATAAAGCTTTAAGAACAGAAGACGTTGAGCAGTTATATACATTTCGATATTTTATTGCAGATCTTTCATTAAGTCTGACTGCAGAATATCAACACATCAGAGAACGTCAAGAGGATGTAGTGACGCTCTATCGTGGATTAAAGGTAGATGAAGAGGAATTCTTAATTCTAAAACAAAATGAAGGAAATTTAATTTCAACAAATGGATTTCTTTCAACAAGTCGTTGCAGAAACGTTGCACTCGCTTTTGCTACGAAACCAACACAGCGCACAAACGTCATTTCAATTCTCTATGAAATTGAATGCAATGTAAAAGACACAGAATCGATCGTTTTTGCTGATATTGCTAAGTTTAGTGACTACACATGTGAACAAGAAGTTATGTTTGATCTCGGTACTACGTATAGAATTGTATCCATTCGTGAAGATACAGAACAAAAACTTTGGATTATTAAAATGAAAGCAACAGATGAAGGTGCAGCTGTGGCTCGAGAATATATTGAACTGAACAGAAAACAAAATCTAGATGAAACTGCTGTAATAATTATGTTTGGGAAATTACTTGCAAGGATGGGAAAGTATGATCAATCACTGAAGTATTTTCACAATTTATTGGACAATCATCTGACGCGAGATGAAGATATAGCAGTGATTTATAATTATATTGGTACTGTTCATCAATATAAAGGTGATTTTGATAAAGGCCTTGAAAATTTTGAACGTGCTTATAATTTAATGATGAATTCTACACCACAACCACGAATCAAAGATTCGGCTAAACCATTACGAAATATGGGCAATATTTCATATGAAAGAGCACAATATGATAAGGCTCTTGAATTGTATATTCAAGCACTGGAAATATTTGAGATGCATTATGGCAATGAACATATAGAAACAGCTCTAACACTTAATAGTATTGGTCTTGTTTATCATAAAAGAGGACATTATGTACGTTCATTGGACTATCATGAAAAATCTCTTAGAATTAAACAAAAACAACTGCCAAGTGCTCATTGTGATATTGCAACGTCCCTAATGAATATTGGCAGTGTCTATCGCAAAATGAACGAATTTAATCGTTCTCTTGAATATTATCAAAAATCTTTGGAAATGAAAAAAAAATTACTTCCACCAGAACATATTGCGATAGCTGCTAGTTTAATGTATATTGCAGATGTGTTTAGTGATCAAGGCCAGCTAAACCGTTCATTAGAATACTATTTTCAAGCATTAAAAATGCAAGAGAAAATTTTCGAACCAAACGGTCACACTAGCATTGCACAGAGTTTAAATAATATTGGTCGTGTTTATCAGACGATGAATAAACTTGATCAGGCTCTTGATTATTATCAAAAATCATTAGACATGAACCAAAAATTACATTCATCACAACATGTTGATACAGCTGAAAGTTTGATAGGAATCGGTAATGTACTTCGCTTTCAAGGTCAATTAACCAATGCTTTAGAATATTATTTTCAAGCGTTAGAAATTCAAGAGAAAGTTTATGGATTAGATAGTCATCCTGACATTGCAATGACTCTTATGAATCTTGGCAGTACCTATGAGAAAATGAATGAATTCGATCAGGCTTTAGAATATCATCAAAAATCGTTAAAAATGAAACAAGAATTACTTCCAATTGAATATAACGCGATAGCTGGAAGTTTGATGGGAATTGGTACTGTGCTTTGTCGGAAAGGTCAATTTGACAATGGATTAGAATATTATTTTCAAGCATTAAGTTATCAAGAGAAAATCTTCGGAGTGAATGGACATTCGGAACTTGCAACTACACTGCGTAATATGGCTTGCCTTCATGAAGACCAACATAATTTTGCTACGGCGCTTGCTTACTATCGAAAAGCATTGAAAATGAATATAAAATGTTTACCCTCCGATCATCCTCATATATCACAATTGACAAATGATATTGCAAGTGTAAAAGCAAAAATTTGAAATAATATATTTCATACACTTTGCATCATCAAACTAATTCTATCACCAAATCGAAAAATTTTAAAAGTTTCTTCGATTAAAACTGATTGCAGATTCATCTTCTCCACCCTTCCAATGACTTTTTCGAAAAATTTTAAGCAAGACCATGTGCAAACTTCTTTCTGAAGTACTTCGATCCAAAAGTTATCGCGTATAAAATAATCGACTATGGAGAAGATGAATTTTTTAATCGGTTTTGACTGAAGAAGTTTTTAACATTTTCCGATTAGGTGACATGCTTTTAATATTCACATTTGTGAATACTTACGACTCGTTTGCAACAACTCATCCGTTTTGGAAGATTATTACTTCGTTGACCAGTTGCTAATGAGGTTGTAAAACAGAAAAAAATCCGTAGGTTTTCTTTTTTCAAAAAATATGAGAGAAAAATAACTAGTCTTCTAGCATTCTTAAGAAGAAGAAGAGGAGGAAGTTTTCTTTTTGAACGAAATCTTCTTCTTCTTTTTCTTTTGTCGTCTGATACACAACGTTTTTCTCTTTCGTTTCTGCGCGTGTTTTTCAAGATAAAGAAAACAAACAATATACACTAGATATCGAGTATTTTTTTCTATATTTTTTGTACATTACCGAAATAGTCGTTCGTCTAAACTGACGAACAGAAATAAAGCACAGCGTCAGAGTATAAATACGGAATAAATCACCATGGATAGATCATTGAATACATTTTCGTTACTGTTCTATTCGGTTTAAAATGAAATTCTGTATTTTCATTTTTTGTTACTAGCAAATATTTGACTACCAACTCTGACTAAGTCTATTAACTATCAAATCTTCTCATAGATCTCAGAATTTTATATTTTATAAAAGTCATATTTTACTAAACTCTGATCTAAATAAGAACGTCATCCAGCTGTATTTGATACAGAAATAAGTTTTTTGTTTCGGTCACACCATATCGTAATCTCACTGGAGAAATACTGAGTTGCACTGTTTTGCAAAATGAATTATCGAACTGTTGACTGAAATTTAACAATGACCTTCAAACAAAGTCACAACACTTGTCTAATAGATAGAGATCGCGCAATATCTACTTGTCATCTTCTTACCTATGTATAGAAAAAAACTTTTCTTTAGAACTTTCGTCACGGCGAGCGTCAGTGAGTGAGAACGTAGAATCGCACGTATTGTCTTTTTTATTATAAGAAAAATCCCTCTGCCCGCTATACTATTAGCTCTTTGGATGCTTACGTCAATTCAAAATTCGTCAGAACCCAGCTCGTAAGAAAGATCGATTTGCAAGACAAACACATCATTAATTAAAACTAATGTCATTTCTAATGACCAAATTACAGTTTCTATAATTGCAGTTTTGGATGATTTCATAAAATAGTCTATTTTCTTCGCACATGGATATGTGAGACGCTTTTGTATACTCTTGCATTTACAGAAGATTTTGCTTCTCGTTTATGCAAATATACAATATATCACAAATGCTCTTAATACACCGAAGAATATGCGATACATATTTCAGCCCACTTGGTACAAGAATTTGATCACTTGGGAAGTACGTGACAAGTTAAGCACGAGGCAAGTACTTGAGCAAGAAGTTACCAAGTATCATTACCTAACTTGCTTCAACCAAGTGTTGGACAAGTCAGTTACTCTTTTCTTGTGCATTCTTCACTTCTGTATAAACACCACAATATCAATCGCTATACACTTACAAAATAACCTTCTATTTTCCACTGAGTTGAACAAACTTAGTAATGGCCAATGTATTTGCTCTATAATGTACTTGGCTCAAGTGCATTTACTAGGGACGACATGAAGGTTTAGCATAGTCAAAGAAATATGGCAAAGTAAGGTGCTGGTTTTGCAGAGCAAATACATTGGCCCCTACTAAGTTTGTTCAACTCAGTGGAAAATAGAAGGTTATTTGATAAGTGTATAGCGATTGATATTGTGATGTTTATATAGGAGTGGTCAATGCACAAGAAAAGAGTAACTGACTTGTCCAACACTTGGTTGAAGCAAGTTAGGTAATGATACTTGGTAACTTCTTGCTCAAGTACTTACCACGTGCTTAACTTGTCACGTACTTCCCAGATAATCAAATTCTTGTACCAAGTACGGATGAGTTGCTGGAAATGAGTCGTAAGTATTCACAAATGTGACTATTAAAAGCATATCACCTAATCGAAAAATGTTAAAAGCTTCTTCAGTCAAAACCGATATTAACGGGATGAGTGTGCAAAAGCCGAAATGAAGTATATTGAATATC